TTCAATATTTAATATACTTACCCTCCGTGTGGCATGGCCGTGGGACGCCCTGAGTGGACCAGACTCTATACAGTGGAAAGCTGTCATGGATGAGGAACACAAGTCTTTTCTGGACAACAAGTGCTGGTCACTTGAGGACTTACCCAAAGGTAAGAAGACTAATAGCGAAGTTTTGCGGTACAAAGCTCTTCTTGTAGCAAAGGGCTACACACAGAAATATGGCGTGGATTACTTCGAGACGTTTTCGCCTGTTGTGAGGTATTCAACGTTGCGTATGTTGTTGGCATTAGCTGCTGAGTACAGTATGGACATAGACCATATGGATGTGAAAACTGCGTTTCTGAACGGGGATTTTAAATAAACCGTTTTCATGGAAGTTCCAGAAGGGTATGGAAACAATGTAAGGTATATCGGTTACACAAGTCAGTGTTCGAACGAAAGCAGGCGCCAAGAGCGTGGAATGAGAAAATTAATTACGTACTCACTAATAAATTAAAATTTAAAAGGTTTTCGTCATAACAATGTGTATATGTAAGATCACAGAACGGTGCATTAGTATTCATAGCTCTGAACGTTGATGACGTAATTCTTTTAAGCAACTGTCCGCAGACTAAGAAGTTAGTGAAAGAGCTGCAGATGGAACAGTTTGTCATGACAGACCTTGGTCCAATAGAGCATGTGTTAGGCATGCATACTCATAAAAAGGATGGTAAAGTAATTCTGGAGCAATCTAGCTACATTAAGAAGGTTTCAGAAAAGTACAGTATGTTAGACTGCAAACCTGTGAGCACACTTATGGAAGCTGGGCTCTACAAACTTGCCAAAGCTACAGAAGGTGTTTTACTAAGTATCAGGGCCGTGGTAGCATAATTGGTCAGTGCATTCGCCCGGGTTGCGAATGTTGCGGGTTCGAGTCCCGTCTGCTTAATATTTTTTTTATTTCTTCTTTCAAATGTTTAATACTTGAAAAAGTATTCATTTGACATTGTGGGTTACCTACAATGCGAAGAGATGGCGCTGACTTGCAGCATAAGGCTAGGAAAATTTCGACGCGGCCATCAGGGCCGTGGTAGCATAATTGGTCAGTGCATTCGCCCGGATTATGAAGGATGCGGGTTCGAGTCCCGTCCGCTGCCTGGTCCGCGTGGATTTTTTTCTAGTAAAACTTTTCTTTAGATTTAAACATCTAGCAGTTAAGTGCTTAAAAATAAATAAAAACATAACTATAATTGCTATTTCTTCTTTCAAATGTTTAATACTTGAAAAAATATTCATTTAACATTGTGGGTTACCTACAATGCGAAGAGATGGCGCTGCCTTGCAGCTTAAGACTAAGAAAATTTCGACGCGGCCGTCAGGGCCGTGGTAGCATAATAGGTCAGTGCATTCGCCCGGATTGCGAAGGGTGCGGGTTCGAGTCCCGTCCGCTGCCTGGTCCGCGTGGATTTTTTTACAGAGATTTAATTGTCCGTCTTTTGTATATAGCTGTGTGCAGTCAGCCTGACATCGCGCACATCGTCCGAGTCCTGAGTCAGTTCAACGGCTGTTAATCTGAAGCTGGAAGGTGCCGAAGAGAGTCTTGCGGTATCTAAGGGGTACAGTAGATTACCGTCTTACTTTTCAAAAATCTGGTCCACAGGTTAATGGTTAAGTAGATGCAGATTGGGCAGGGAGCGCAGATCAACGATCATACACTGGTTTCCTGTTTAGGATAGGCGAGTCTCTGACTTCGTGGGAGAGTCGTAAACAGAAAACTATTGCATTGTCGAGTATTGAAGAGGAGTACATGGTACTCTCTGACGCCTGTAAGAAGGTGTTATTTGTTAATTCTTTTTTGGAGGAATGTCTAATCAGTCGTAGCGAACCGATAGTGTTGTTTAACAACATCCAGTCGACACATAAGCTGTAGAACGAAACACGATATTCGGCATCACTTTGTTAGGGAATTTGTCGGGGAAGGCACTGTTGTTGTCAGGTACTTACCCTCAGACCAGATGCTACCTGATTTTTTAACTAAGCCTGTAAATAATGCTGTGTTCAAACGTTGTGTAAATATGTGTAGTATAAGGTTTAGTTAGTGTACTGGTAGGTTATTTAGGTTAGGTATCCTAGGCTATTGTTTTCCTTATGTTTTGTGTTTATTTTTATATAGTCATTTGTGTTTAAGGCGGTGTGTAGTGAATATAAACTCCATGACTGTAATATCATAGACAAATTAGACACATTTGTATATAAGAAAAATAAATTTATTCAATTCGATTGTTTTCGCCCAAGATGGTCGTTTCATTCTATTTTACCTTTTATTAATTTCTGGGTTTTCCAACATGAACCCTTTGGATCAGCGGCTTAGTAAGAGTGGCTAGTACAGCTTGTGTGTTTACTAAATCCATTCGCATTAATAAAAAAATCAGTTATGTTTCAGTGTTTAAAAAAACATCTAAAAGAATACCATTTATCTTCTTGACCTGAATTCTGCCCTAGTTCTTTTCATTGTTTCTCCTCTCGTCGTCTATATTATAATAATATGTATGTATGTATGTTTTGTCACCAATATCATATTCGTACGTATATGCATTTATACATTATATACCTATATATGTAGTTCCCATATTTATAAGTATTTCACATGTATGTGCACACACTGACTGCCTTTTCTTATACTCTTTCCTACTACGGACCTGCTAGAAGAAATTTCACATTGAAACATGTAAGCTGTGCCCTTGTACATGTATCTTTATTTAAGTTACTGTTGTATCTACACATGTGTGTACAAAATATATAAATAAATAAAATTAGAGAGAGGCCACAATGCAAATCTTAGAATACGTAATTCAAAAAACTTTATCAACACACTTACTCAAAAAATGCATTTACGGACGTTGAATACATTGTTCGAAAGTTCAAAATTACGATCCAACGGAGCGTGCAGTAAAATGTTTTACCGCACGCTCCGTTGCATCGTAATTTTAGCGCCATACATGGCGCTGTGCGTATTCTTTTCGGTTTTTTGGAGTTTACTCCTTAAGAATCGATTTGCATATATAAGGGGCCCGGTATGAGAAAAATGTGAGGAGTAAAATCTATCGATGAATGACCTCGTTACGTTTTTGGTGCGCATCCTATGTCGCGCAACTTTGACAAACAAAGATGAGGGATTAACATTAATATTTTTTTTAAAATCTGAACTGAATTTAGATATTGTTTCTGATAGAGCAATGGGGACAACGAGGTATGGTACAACCATTGATGCGGTATTTTCAAGATTCGTGAACCACGTATCTACGAACGTCCATGTGTCTTATTTTAGTTACCATAAACCACTTGTTACTGTAATTAATAATGCAGACAATGTTGATTTAATTAATATTTAAAAAAAATGATAATAGTCTGATAATAATAATTACATAATTTATCAACATTCCTAATGATATATTTATGCACATCTGAAATTGACTATTGTAAAAAGTTTAATGTAAAATATTTTGTCGATTAGTTATAATAAATGTATATGAAATGAATAAATATATATTTATATATGTATATTATTTTCATTAATTTGTTAATTTACCCTTTCATACAGTATCAATCTTTTTTAAGTTAAATAAACTCTTTTTGCGTCTGGTTAGACTATCGAACTTAAGGAGTAAACTCCAGTCGTGCGTCGGAGCTGATACACACAATTTTTTTTATTTTGGTTGAATCTTACTAATCTAAGCGGCGCTGCGGGTTAGAGTGAGAGGAGGAGTATCTACATCATAAAGTTGTTAAACTAAATGAACACAACGGATTGGTAGGTGAAAAGTGGATTGGAGGGTGAAGGGGATTGATGGATACAAAAGTAGTGTAATGGGGATTGGAGGGTGAAAGAAATTCGAGGATGATAAGGAGATTGGTGGGTGATGATAAGGGATTGGTGGGTGATAATGGGGATTGATTAGTGATAATCGAGGATTGGTAGGTGAAAAGGAATTGGAGGGTGAAAGGTGGATTGGAAGGTGTAAAGGGGATTCGAGGGTGAAAAGGGATTCGAGGATGAAAAGAGATTCGAGCGTGAAAAAAGGATTCAGGGATGAAAAGGGAGATTGGAGCGTGAAAGGGATTCGAGGGTGATAAGGGGATTGGTGGGTGAAAGGGATTCGAGGGTATTAAGAGGATTGGTGGGTGATAATAAGGGATTGGTGGGTAATAATAAGGGATTGGTGGGTAATAATAAGGGATTGGTGGGGGTTAATAAGGGATTGGTGGGTGATACTGGGGATTGATAGATGAAAACGGATTGGAGGATGATAAGGTTATTGGAGGGTGTAAAGGGGATTCGAAGGTGAAAAGGGAGATTGGAGGGTGAAAGGGATTCGAGGATGATAAAGGCATTGGTAGGTGATAATAAGGGATTGGTGGGTGATAGTGGGGATTGATGGACGATAATAGAGGATTTGTAGATATAGGTACTGTTTCTCGCAAATGTATTAAAAAACGTTGTTTGAAATTCGTGCGAATTGGTATTTACAAACTCGTGAATATGGTACGTATACTCGTTTATGATAACCAGCTTACCGCACTTGTATCATAATTAACTATTAGTCGTAACGTAAGAAAAAAAGTCTTTTTATCGAAATTTTTAAATATTACCGTAGGTATCAAGCCAACTTTACAACGCAGTTACTTGTATTAGCATACAATGGGAATACCAACCTTTACCCTTACACCAACGTAGATTGAAATAATTCTGTATTTTTAAAATCGTATAACTCCTTAGTTTTATTTAAAAATTAGTAACAATATTCTATGTGAATGCTCAATCGACAAATACAATCTATTAACTTTCTACTATGTATAAAAAAACCTTATTCCATCTTAAATACGACTGTAAAGTTAATATTCAATATTGCTTGTAATATTTAATTTGAACCGCGTGTTAATTATGCTAACCTTACTCAGTTAATCGATGCGGCCCACGTAAGGTTAATGCCAGGAAACATGATACTGTACGAATGCACAATCAGATTCAGTCGTAACAATAAACTACTGTGTTAAGCGTGTGCCTTTTGTTTCGTATTGGAATACAAGTCTTAAATTAAAGAAAATGTCATAACAAAAGAAACACGTCGATTTTTCAGCAAGATTTTGTTCTGTGAAACTTGCTGTATTGTAAACCAGCGAATAATTGCATTGCGTTGCAGTATTTTCAAGAGTGTATTGTTAACCACAGCAATCGTAAGTATTATCTAAGTAAATTTATTAAATCCTGAGTTTCTATATGCAAGTAACAACAGTTGGAGCAGAGAAGAAATATCGTGTATAAGTAATTTTAACTATAATATATTTAATATCCCTAATAAACTGTTCCCTAATGGGAACAGTTCAACGATAAAATATTTCGATGATACAGTAACGATAAAAAGTATATAATGGGAAGAGCTAGAACGACAGTCGTCCAATGAAAACAAAATCGTCACAACATAGTGGGTACGCGCCCTAATGTTTATCAGCTTCTCCATTAAAGACTGTTAGATACCCACAAATAAACCGGTTGTGGTTGGAAAATTCTTTCTTTTTAAGTACATACAGATAATCATTATGATGATCACAATGAATCTGGAAGTCTGTGTCTAATTAATTATGTAGCATTGTCATAAATCTGCGTACGTGTGTGTGTGTGTGTGTTTATGTGTGTCTATCCACAGGTGTAGAGTATGAACAAATATACAACTACTACGACATTTTGTCATTGACTATCGATTTGATTTTTTACAACCGAATGTTAGATTTCGAAAAATAACCAAGCTGGTCCTGAAGCTGCGAACTTCAGGGATCATAGATGTTGTTTAAGTACTAAAGTTATCAGGCAAAACAGCTTTCCAGCCAGCAAGAGCAAATATAGACTTTTTTTTTGAAGTGAAAACTTCTTTAGCGGCGTTATACACTGTTTTTGTAATGGGTAAAAACTGGTAAACTCGCGTCAGGACACGTACCCAAATTGCGTCATGACACATGGCCTGATCACGTCCGGACACGTGACCTAATCGAAAATTCGTAAGACGAAAATAATAAAATTGGAAAGGTTGTTGACTTATCGTATTATAATAATAAGTCTCTAATTAGGACGTCCAGGTGGCAACTTTATTGCGAAGAAAATGCTTTTTTTGACAATAGATGTCACTAGGAGCGCTTAAATGTGATTCATGTAAGTTGATTTTTCTCAGAGATAAACTTTTTAATGTAATACAAATTGACATGTTTATGTACGATAGCGCAATAAATAAATATTGTATTCTACCACATAAATGATAGTACTTTTATACTGATAATTAAAGCAACTCGTGCAAAATTATTCCCTCACCATTCCAAAATATCAAAATGCACAACATTATTATTCAAGTTTTCACTTCTGCCGGCACTCCCGGTGTGCAACCCGTCGTTTTTTTTAATAATATTAATTGTAATATTTTTCCGCCCCTTTTTTATTAAACATTTCCACTTACCTATGAGACATGAACCTATCGCTATATGATATTAATTCGTAGGTGGTCAGCCACCATTAACAGACAGGACATAGGTATAGTAGGTATTAAATTTTTTATTACGTCTTAATCGTCAAACTCCATAGTATTTCGACAACTGAAAGTTATAAAACGTGGTATATATTATATCCGGATGGTGTCTTCTATAAATACTTAGTAAAAGTTGTCAACCTCCTAAAAGTGTGGCCCGCTCCCGCAAAGAAAAGCAATCATGAACATTTAAACATTAGGAGAACGTGGTGGGCGAACCTTCTTTTTACCAAATAAAAGAACATTATCTATACATACATATAATAAAATGGTAGGAAAGTCAAAATTGTACATTGAATAATTTTTTGAAAGAATACTTGGATTGTGATCGTCTAACGATACGAAAGCCAAAAATATAATTTATTGAATTTTTGTGTCTGGTGATTTACTTCAAATTTGGCACGAATATTATTAAGAGTCTACATATAGGCTACATATTATCACGCTATCACCTGCAGGAACGAGCAATGAACCTTTATTTGTAACTAACTCCGCGCGTACGAAATCGCGGGCCGCTAGTGCTTAATAAATATTTGATCCTATCAACCAACAATATTTCAGGTAGCGAACAGCAAAATGTCTAATGAGACTAAAATTACCGAGCTCAGCAAATCAAGAGAAGCAAATTGGCCTGCCGTGCTCTTCTTCATCCACGTCCATCTGCTGTCCGGATACGGCCTGTGGCTTCTATTTTATGAAGTTCAATGGCTGACGATAGTACTCCGTAAGTTTCATAGTTAATATTGCATACTTTCACGACTGAATTGCCAGCCACGGTAGATTTTCGATGTCTTAGTAGAGACTTATAACAATAACAAATATTTTAAAAACTTTAATTAAGATTCTAAATGCCTTTTTTTGTCCCGGAGGTCGTCCAAAACCGTATACAATATACGATATTGCCTTAAATAGCTCAGCATTCGGTAATGCAGGCAAAACATGTAAATGGATAAAGATATTCTGAATCCAAGCCAGTATAACTTTCATGAGACCTATCCAGTCTTCATTCAAACGAGTGTTGCCATATTTATTTTCGGCAATACCTGCAAAAGTTTTCTTTAACACTTTTTTTAACTGCAGTTTCTTGGATTCTGGTTTCTTCTTGTAGTAGTTCTATTGCATTGCTGTTATTTTTCATTAAGAAAAAATAAAATATATTATATCGAATACTGGCTTGTTGGAACTGATCGTACGGAGTCACCGTATAGCTTAACATTGCAGACATGTTCATCATGTTCTCATTTACATGGTACTTCTACTTCCAGGCTCACTTAATTAAATTCCACATTGTCCACAACTTGATAAATACGAGCTTCTGTGCCCAAGTCTCGGTTGTTTATATATATTTCTACCAATATACTTATATTTATGTATCATTATTAGTAATTCTTTCCGTTAGGTTTCCTAGCATCCCATAATACAAGCCTTAAATAGGCCGTGCTCACTTTGGGCAAGAATTTGTATAGTACCTACTAAAACGTATGATTGTGGTCGTACGAATTAAGTGTGCACTTAATTTATACAACCACAATACCGTACGCATACTGAATACATTTTTCTCAGTCAAATATGTAGTGTTATTGTGTTCTTGATATCATCTTTCGTTAGAGCGTGATGAATAATCTGTATGATTCAAGATAATTCGCTTATAACTCGGAGACTGCAGTGGCGTACGCATACGTACGAGCCGTACGTATACGTCGTACGGTACCACTAACTTGCATTCAGTAAACATGCATTCCTATAGTATTTGGATTTGGAAGGTTGGGATCCTTCGTGCTTGTTCATACGAATGCACTGCACTTACGAATACCCGTCCAAAGTGGGCGCTGTCTTACAGTGCTTACTTTGTGGCTGGCTAATTGGTGTAATAAATATTTATTTTTTATTTATTTCAGTGGTAGTATTAACTTTGGTGGCGGTATTGGGAGTCACAGCTGGTGCACATCGCCTTTGGGCACACCGCTCCTATCAAGCCAGTACCGGACTACGAATCACTCTCATGATCTTCCAGACACTGGCTGGTCAGGTACGAAAATATCAATGTGTATCTACTCTAATCATCATTAAAAGCTTCCGTTCGATGCATCGTCTAGGGAGTATATGCATCCCGAAAACGGTGCGAAACGTCGAGTTTTGTAAAAATATATAAAACACATCTTAAACCCGTAGGAAAATTTGTTTTATTTTTACAAGTGTTGTGGTTGAACTTAAGAAACAAATATTTTAATCTACAATAGGGGCGTAAAATTTCTCACCCAGGGGCGGGGTATGCGCCCCGCATTTTCCCAATAATAAAAAACGTATAAAAGCGAGTTATATTGAATAGGGTTCTATTTACGAGTGGGTCGAGCATCACCGGCTTCACCACGCGCACTTCGGAACCGATGGCGATCCATACGACTACAACAAAGGGTTCCTCCATTCGCACGTGCTCACTCGCCTGCGCCGCCTCAGCCCCTACCAGATGCAGCTCAAAAGCCAAGTCGACATGTCGGATCTAGAGGATGACCCTGTGGTCATGGTGCAAGATAAGTAAGAAGTCAACAATTTTAAGCATAATTTATCCTTTCTTGTATCGTTAAAAAATCAAGTGTGACAATAGTTATAAATAAAAAAAATGTTTGCCTGTAAAGTCGGTTTTACGGGCGAAGATTTTACGTGACAACGTCTTTTTCTCGGTAGAATATTTATTGATATGAATATAATTAAATTGCACAATAGGAACAAGGAATTGAATGAAAATAAGAATTGCACAAATTTTAACTATAGAAATATATTTTGTTTACTAAAACATTGTACATGCAAACTTAAACTTAACACGAGAGACTCATCGTAACGTTACCGAGCGTTACACTTTTTCATAAGTGACTCCCAGCCGCAACCTAATTTAAGACGTTGTCACGTCAAAAAACAAGACGCCGAAGTACGGCAGTTATATTCAAAAGTTTTCCAAAAAAATGAATATATTGCAATCATTATAAAAATCATAAACGCCTTCAGCCTATTAATATCCCCACTGCTGTGGCACATGCATCTTCTATTGATGACATAGGGAGAAATAACCATAACCCACCACGCGGGCCCAGTGCAGATTGATGGGTGCTAGCCGGAATCAAACGGCTTAACCTACCTCTGAAGCACCAAGAAGGATGTTTTTCTTACCCATGCATTGACCGGCCTTTGCGAAAGTTGCTTAATCCAAAGTGCCTGCGCCATCGTACTGGTCTGATTTGAATAATTTTCATTATTACTTCCAGGTTGTATTGGGTGTTATACTTGATTGTGTTCCTTCTTCTGCCGCTGAACGCCCCCCTGGAGTACTGGAACGACACCGTGCTCAGTACAGTGTTCGTGATGGGCTTCCTGCGCTACGGGCTGATTCTACACGCGTCCTGGCTCGTCGAGAGCGGCACCTGCGTCTGGGGCTTGAAACCGGGAGAGAAGTATGTACTCACAACAATTGTTACGTGCTTAGTACAGTGTTCGTGATGGTCTTCCTACGCTACGGGCTGATACTGCACGCGTCCTGGTTCATCGAGAGTGGCACCTGCATCTGGGGCTTGAAGCCGGGAGAGAAGTCAGTACTTACAGCCATTGTTACGTGCTCAATACAGTGTCCGTGATATTCTTCATGCGCTACGGGCTGACACTGCACGTGCCCTGGGCTCGTCGAGAGCGGCACCTGCGTCTGGGGCTTGAAGCCGGGCGAGAAGTAAGTACTTACAACCATTGTTACGTGCTTAGTACAGTGTTCGTGATGGTCTTCCTACGCTACGGGCTGATACTGCACGCGACCTGGTTCGTCGAGAGTGGCACCTGCATCTGGGGCTTGAAGCTGGGAGAGAAGTGAGTACTTACAGCATTTGTTATCTAAGTTTAATATTTGAAATGTAACAGCTATTGAGATCAGCCAAAAAATCTACATTAACAGTAAACTTTAAAATTATGTACGCGAAGTATGTATGCGAAGCTTGTTAATTCCATATAATAAATGATTTATTAAATCCAATGTTTGATAAACATAAAACGAACTTTTTCCGTAATGCTTATTGTCAAAATTACAGTTAGCATTATCGTGTAAAGAAATAGAATGAATGATGCCTGCCATGTTTTGTCTTAGCCCCCAGCACAGATTATAATTATAATAGTCCTTACTGTACTGACTATCGTTCTAGTAGAAGTAGAAACTAGAACGTGAATACGAGTGATCATATCTAGTTTACGTGAATGTAACGTTGTAATGTTGGGTTCTTTTCAATAAAACTATGATTAACAAAGACGTAGAGTGACGGACCACAGACAACACTCACAGAGAATTATAGATAACAGTAGTTCACAAGTTTGACACTAGATGAATCTACGTTACAGTGAATCTTGTTTGATCAATCGTAAAATCTAAAATATATTTCTTATGTTTTTATTGGAGACCTACTGAAAAGATGGCGGCGTTGGTTCTAAATTTTGCCAACTTCATAAAGATCCTTGTCGCACTATACTAAAACGATTTTAAGCTTATAGTTGCGTTATTGTTTTCATTGCCAATTAATGGCGTATTCGTCGAATCAAATACTAAATAAACTTGTTACTTACATAAGTGAGATTCTCTTTCATTTTCTGTATTTAAATTCTTTATTATCAATGATATTTACTCTAAACTCCACTGTACAGGTGTCCACCTGACTCCAACTGGGTGTTCGTGCTGTCCAAGTCGTTTTGGCCACATTACCACTACCTAATCCCGTATGATTACAAGTCTGGAGAATACGGAACATACGGTAAGGATGTTTGCTAAAATGCTCGATTGTGTAATGCCAGCACTTCACACGGCTATTCGTATTTGTTATTTGTAAACTGAACAAAAGTTTCTCCTTTTTACTCCCTGTAGAATGATAAGAACTACATACTGTCAGAATGAAATACGAATAGACATGTGAAGTGCCGGCATCAGAAGTGATGATGAGCATCAAAACCATGAATAATTTATAAAATGCTTGTCCAAGGGTAAGGATAAATTTTAAAGAAGTCACATCTTTATATATATAATTCTTCTGTGAGTGTGTATGTCACTGAACTTCTCTTAAACGACTGGACCGATTTTGATGAAATTTTTTGTGTGTTCAAGGGGATCTGAGAATGGTTTAGATTCACAATTTTGTCCGCTGGACAACCCCTATTTTTTTAGGGCGGTACGAAGTTCGCTGGATCAGCTAGTTTCTATATATTATTAAATTCAATTGCTGTTCGTTGGTCTCGCTAAAACTTGAGAACGGCTGAACGGATTTATCTTATTTTGATCTTTAAATGTTCGTGGAGGTCTAGGGAAGGTTTAAAAGGTGAGAAAATATAGCAAAATTGCGAGGAAGATAGTAAATACGTCAATTTAATTTTCCCGTATAAACTGTTCTATCTTCTTTCCTGTCAAACATTTGACGTTCGTCCCTTTTGGTACGGTAGACTCGGGTCCGTCATCTCTTCCAAATTATTTTAACCCGTACGAAGTACGCGGGGTCAACTAGTTTAGGTGTATTTATCTAGAAACACATATTATAAACATCCATGACTTAGGTACAGATGCTCGTATTCATCATACAAACATTTGCCTCACCGAGATTCGAACCTCGCGCCGCGGACGTCGTCAACAACAGACAAATCTATGAAATTTATTGGATAAATATTTGATCTTATGAACAATTTCAGATTCAGGTTGTACGTCAGCATTTATCCGTGTGTGCGCCGCCTTAGGGCTCGCCACCGACCTCAAAACGGTCGACACCGCCACTGTACAAAAAGCGTTAGCTGACGCCGCCCGGTAAATATCAAAACGCATTACACATTTTAATTGCCCACATTCCGCTAAAACCTTACCTTACTAAACTACCTTTATCTATATTCTTTCCTACTGCGGGCCTACTGGAAGAAATTTCAGATTGAAATAAGTTGTGCCCTTGTACAGGTTATCTTTAATTAAGTTGCTCATGTATTATTTTTTGTGTGTACACAATATGTAAATAAATAAATAAAATAGATATACGAGTGGTATATACAATAATAATATACACTAGACCGCAAAGAAACCAGGTTACCCGCTAGTACCTTGGAACTCTGATTAGATTTTCTCAAAAAGTATAAAAATTACAACTTTCAAAGTTATATCCACAGAAAGTACGTTCCATGATGATTGAAATAATTAAAATTGAATTCTAAAGTACTGTCAACTTCCCGTACAATCAAGTAAGAAACACAATGCTTAAGATTTGCTATTTTTCAATAGTTTCGATTAGTGTTCTTTCTTATAAAAGGAGGATAGTCTGATACTTCTTCTCTTTTTTTTGAGTTTTCATCTATAGTTTTCTCAGACGAGTGTTTTCTTGCTACGTTTTTACTTCTCAGAAATCAGAAATCAATATATCTTTATTCAAATTTGATGTATGTACAACAGTTTTGAATCGTCCAAACATTTTTTTCCCTACTACTACGTTATACTTATTATACTACGTTATTGGATACTGATCAACACAATTGGAAAACTAATCTTTGGGTCATCGCCCAATCTCCCTATTCCATCCATACATATAGACCTTCCCTTGTATCCTTGCAGTAGGGACATTAATAGGCTGATGATGAGAAGGATTAGTAGGACTAGGAACCCTAACTTCGCTTCAGCAAAGACTAGTATTTATTTTCGGTCATGACTGTTTTATACTTATAAAATCTTCCTCTTGAATTATTTTAACCATGGCTGGAAACTACATTAAAATCCGTAGCGTAGTTTAAAAAAGCTAAGCATACAGACAGCGGGAGCTACTTCGTTTAATTACTATAGTGAGATTCCAAGGAGTTTTTACTCTTATCTTTTTTACAGTGGAAGTACTTGTATTAAGTTCATCATTTCGAGTTAAACAGAATCCGTAATACGACTAATCTAATGAGGGTTTTGCTAAAATGACGGGCACCAGGTGGCAGTACTGAGACGGAAGGTCTACTCATCCGTCGAATCGCATATGTCTTCATAGTCTATGGATCAATTTAAACGCTCGTTAGATTAGTTCGCGCTGAAAACTTCATACAAAAGACGTCACAGTGGTGCCAACTGGGGACGTATATTTTCACAAACAACCTCATTCTACTGAAACGGAATGCCTTTCTGAAAAGGCCAAAAGATCGTAGGAATAAAAATAAAAAGATTTTTATAACATTTTTATTTTTGCAGTATACCCAATATAGGAAAGAAATCTCTTTCATCTCATCGACAAAAGAGTAACATAACACAACACACAAGAATAATTTCGCAATTTTCAATAATTTCAGGACCAAATTACCAGTTCAGACCTGCTTGGATCAAGCGGTATTGGAACAAATTCTACCTAAAGAACACTATTTGCGCAGAGGATGATACTAAGTAGTTTTATTTAAGCATATTAAATATTTTTTTGTTTCTAAATTGACTTTTTATTCGAAAATCTATACTTTGTACCTACTACTTCTAAGATTTTATAAAATGGTAGTGCCGATTAAAAAAACCACTAAGTCTGTTGTTAACCTTCGGTGGAACATAATGTGAAGATAGTTGATGCCACGGAGATATTTGTCGCAATCAACAACTAGATTACATTAGAGTAGAGATTACATTTTCGATTATTCCATATTAAAGCAGTCCTCAAGTTGCACCAAACGAATAATTCGTCTCCACAAACATAACATAAAATGCTGCAGCGCCATTCGATTCTTCCATGCATATTCCGCAAGCCCTGGAAAGTAATGAAAATCCTATAAGTATCGCATAGTACATGAGATAAGACATATATATCTAGTATTTAGTATAGGCACATAAGGAACACATTACGTTTAAGTATGAACGTCAAATATTTTTAACACTTGTACTGACGTGCAGTCTCTCAGGAAACTAACTATATTCACATGCAACCTTTTTTAGAAACTGATTTCAAACCGCTTCAAAACCCCCTCTATATCCGAATATAGATCTCTAGAAGGGAAAAAAATAGGTTTTTGGAATCAAATTACTTCATCATAACTATAAAAAAATATGAAAAAATAACGATTATGGCCGACCCACAGAAGCAGAAATGGTTATTCTATGCTTTTTCGTGGGATTATATTCTATAAGTTCTTCTTTTTCCTTGACTGACTGGTGGCTAGTGGTGTCTGGACATCTTCAGTAACCATATTTTTATAATTCGAGCTACATTTGGCTTTGATGGTCGTGACGGAAAATCGTAACAGTAAATCTTTGGCTAATACTGTTTATTTCTAAACTAACGAGATTGCAGTTTTGTGCCGTCCAACAGTCGCCGGGCTGCGAGATCAGGCGGAGCCCGCCGCGTCTGCAGGTTATTGTGTCCCGCACGCCCCTCTGCGGGTTCCGCAAACCCCCGCGCTCAACAGGCTTGAATCTTTATATGCGGCAGCGGTCTCACATCCGCTCTGTGAGATCTTAGCCTCATCCTTTTTTTAAGCCTAGCCCCCATCCACCGAGTCCATACCACGCGATAAGGAATTTCATTCCAAATTTAAAAAACTTAATCTGACCAATGATAGAGGCCGCGCTGAGTCCGGCGACGATGAGTATGAGCGCGGAGCTGACGTCGGCGGCGCGCGCAGATGCAAACCCAACCGGCGGTGCGCACTCCGGCATCGCCGGCACCAGCGCCGTCTGCAGCCGCGCCAGCGCACCCGTGTCGTGCAGCTGCAGTAGACTGAAATGGAAATTGTTTTTGCTTTGGCAATTTTTGAGCCTGAGCAACCGTGCTTGTTGTACAAAACGCGTCCTGCGTGGAATATTGGTTGCACCTCTGGGATGGCTCCGCCACGTACTTACTCGATGCGTTGGATAGGTGACAACGGCGCGCGATCCGCATCATTGGCGATAAAGAGGTGACTCAACACCTCAAACCTCATCGATTATGCCGTGATATGGCGTCATTAAGCGCGTTCTATAGTCATAGCCACCACGGCGTGTTCTAAGGAGCTATTCTCCCGTTCCCTTTTCCTTCTGAAAGCACGCGCTAACCGTCATTGTCACCAACTTACTGTAGCAACTATTCCAACGAGAAAAAAGGTAATATGGTAGAGATATGGTAATTCATTTCTTTGTCACAGTATCCGAAAATGGAAAGACCCTCCTTAAACCTGGGATCCTTTAAAAGAAGAAGGTCGGCAAGGTGAGGATGGGTGATGTGGCAAGTAAAACTGCTTCTACTGCTTCGCGAGTCACTTACATCAGATAAGGTGGAGACATTTGTCAGACCTTACTACAAAAAAACTATTAAGTAACAATTAACAATATTTTCTATGTTTATACTATTCCTTTCATTTAACTTCGCATTAAGCAGCGTAGAGGGTATTCGCAGGGTTATTTGCCTGCGTTAACAGAAAAAAAGGGCTCTTTGGTTTACTTTTGCCTTAATTTTTTTTACCAACCTTATGAGAATGGGTCTGGCGTAAGGTGACCGGCGCGGCAGTGGGAAGGCGAGTTGCGCGCGCGTCGAGTACACGGGCAGCTCCCGGACGGCGCATCTCCCTCTAGCCTGACTTAAAGACCTGTAGGAATCATCCAAGATACTAAAACCAGATTTTTCCGGGTTCCCCGTAACGAAATAACATTTGTAATGAAGCCAAAGAAAATAAAAGTCTTAGGCCCAATTGCACTAAAGTTTTACATTCAAAATCAAAAGCTTTATTGTGTTTAACGCCTTATTCTATCTCTATTTGACATTAAATAATTGCCAAGATGGAATGATGCGTTAAACACGATTAAAACTTTGCTGAAACAAGGCCTTAGTTTACAAAGATTTTGCTGCATTTACAAAATAGGAAACTATAAAATTGTTTTCCTTCGAAACCGCTAAAATTTGAAAACCAATACTGGCACTGGCTCTACGAAGGTATAGAATGTCACTACATAGATGATTCTACTATCATTAAAGGAACACAGCATTAAAGATCAATTATTTGATTGTAATGTTTCATTGAAGCTGATCACACTATTAAGGAAGCGGAACCAGCAGCCCACCGTTAACATTGGCTAGATTATTAATTTGTTAAATAGGTTATTTTTTTCGATACTGAGCTATTGCAATCCGGTCGAAGTATAAATTAAGTAGTATTTAAAAATACATCACCTGTACGATACATACCGTAAAGTGGTCCGAGCCACTCGTTGTCCAGTAAAGAAGGCGTAGTTTTGTTTTGCAGCACGCGCCAGGCCTTCTTCGGCGGTCGCAACTAGATTCTCAGCATCGGAGTAACCGCGGATATAAAAGGCATTTAACTGCGCATCTTTTGTTGACTGTGGCAGACAATTTTCCATTTTACATGTTTAAAATAATTAAAATAATAATGAAACACGTTATATTATTAAAGTTAACGCACACCTGTCTTTTCCCCCGAACACGAATTGACACGGTTTACCGAGCTTATCCTAGGGCGAACCAACTGTTACGACATTCTGTATTTTAATAGGGAATTTCTTACAAGGCACAGAAAATTCTAACTTAATAGCTCGGGTTGCGACGGTGATAAATAAATTATTTCTGTGGCGCTAACTAAGCTACAAAATAAAGTTGGGCAGATTCTAAAACGCGTTATAGATATTTAATTTCACCATTTTTATGTTTTCGGCATTGTGCAGTAAGAGCAGCAGGAATCGTGATAATTTTTTTTGAAAACTCTCAAGATTTTGACAACATAGAAAATTACTAAATAGCAAAACTATAAAAGACAACAATGTTAGGCAGTGAATTTTCTATAGCAAAGTACTTAATCATTAATTTAATAAATATATTTTATATTACTTTTCAATGTGACATTACATTATTAATTTTAAATCAAACATTGATTATTAATTGCAATATTTTATTGATTATTCATTGATTATTAATTGCACAATTTTTATTGATTATTAATTCCATTTATTATTCATTGATTATTAATTGCACTATTTTTATTGATTATTAATTCCATTTATTATTATTGATTAGTAATTACATTGCACTTTTCTCAATTGAATGCTGTGTGTGATTGTAAAGGTTTGCATATATGTCTTAGAATAAGTACTATTTTATTTTTTTAATGTAATTAAATGTTTAGCTGTAAGTACACCTATTAAATAAATAAATAAATAAATAAATTTCTATGCGACAGAAGTCTATCTATTCATACCATTAGATACATTTGATCCGCTCCGTTCCTAATGTATCCGATTTTAAAATCCGGAGAGTGTAATACTGCGGCAACGGTGTCTAAGCTGGCCACTCGCACAGACAGAACAGAGGTTATAAACGCCGCATACGAATTATACGTCACCACCGCGAATAGAAGACACACGATGAGCAGAATGCTTGCTGCTGGGTTCGGAGGAGTCCAGCTCCCACCTAAAAACGAAAACATCGGCACATTAATAAGATTACTCAGATTTTACTTCGTACAAAAAGTAAATAGTACTACAGTTAAAGCCATAACAGTGAAACACTTGTATTATGAAAATAAAAAACTACGTTACCAACACTGCCTTTCCACCTAAAAATATATTCCTATTTCATAAACAAAATAAAACTAAACCTATCTCAAATCTAAGTGTGAAAATGATTAAAATCCCATTAATAGTTTCAAATGTATAAAAAAAAACATAAAGAAAAGATTTCTAGAAAAAAGTCCACATGGACCAAGCAGCAGATAGGACTCGAACCCGCACCCTCCGTTATCCGGGCGGATGCACTGTCGTGTCGAATTTTCCCTAGTATTTCTTAGGCTGGAATGCAGCGCCATCTCTTCGCATTGTAGGTAACCCGCAATGTCAAATGAATATCTTTACAAGTATTAAACATTTGAAAAAAAGAAATATCAATTATAGTTATATATTTATTTTTTAAGCATTTAACTGCGAGGTGGTTAGGTTTTATTTTGTTTGTATAGCATCCGCCTGGATAGCAGAGGGTGCGGGTTCGGGTCCCGTCAGCAGCCTGGTCCGCGTGAAATTTATTCTAGTAAAATTTTCTACAGATTTAAACATCTAAAAGTTAAATGCTTAAAAAGAATAAAAACATAACAACAACATCCTTAATATAGCTGTTGTTAAATAATATTTGTTTTATTTATTTATGTAAATATTGACAGGTTTTATTTGTTTTATTTGTTTAAATATTATGATTGTGCAAATATTGACTTGTTATATTTATTTATTATTGATGATGATTATTTGTAAATTAATTAAATGTTAATTGATTGTTTGGTTTAAAAAGGTTGATATGGGCTGCTGTTGTCCGTTTTTTTTATCATTATTATAATGGCGAGTGCAATCATTAATCTTTAGAACTGGGCACTGACAATTCTTTAATATATCTACATTAAGAATTCCTTTAATTTAAACCTTGATGAAGGGACATTTTTTGGTACCCAACCATTAAATAGCAGGGATCTTCAAATATTAAGACATAGTTTAGATATATATTATTATACTCCAAGACATAACGCTTTTAATTGATTTTACCCTTTACATATATAAATAACACTTGCGCGGTTGGAAAACTGTCAAATGTATAAACATCATTCCCACAGCCAAACCTTAACGACGCCACATTTGGTTAGATCTGGATGTTGCCCGGATATAAAGGCATTACACATAATACAACAAATCCAAAGTTGCCCTTGTCCTAAAAACTTCGGGAATATTAATGGACCTATGAACGACATATAACCTTTACTTTGAATTTGTTGTATTATGTGAATTAAGCTCGAGAATAATATGGATTATGTAAGTTTTTTTTCTTTCCCTGTCTAGCATAGGAAATTAACCTATATTTATAATGATACTGGTATCAATTCCAGCATGATTCTCTAAACTTAAAGCTAAATTTAACATCAGTCTCTCCTTTTCACTCTGTATAGAGAATGACAAGGATACACTGTTGTCAAATTAAAGTGTAGGTTTAGAGAATCATGCCAGCATCGACACCACTATGTGCTATTACATAACTAACGAATCAATGTAAAATATTTGCCTTGCTGACATAGGATCCCCGTTGACCAGATGAGTGCTTCCGTATATTCCATGGGGCGTGATCCTGCCTTCACAGTTGGAGCTAGACGATTTATTAGAATCACAGCGGATGATGCGAAAAATGCTATAGCCATTACGCACGCCAAAAGACGAACACTAAAAGGAGCCATGAATATATCTCGAACAGTAGACGTCTCCTGTTGTCGTATGTATATATTGCACCTGATTCAGAAAATACGGTATGAAGAAGCAAAAAAAACAACATTGAAGACTTTTAGATTTGATTACATTCTTACGTCAAAGCTTTCGGCAACATTACTAACATTGTTTCAGCTATAGGGAATATAAAATCCATATCCTGGTGGCGAGCTGGGTGGGCAGTGACAGGCTCCAGTGCCACGTCTACAGATTGCGCTAACAAGGCTCCTAGAAGACCAGTCCATGTACCTTCGTATGTACGGAATCCCAGTTTACTGTAATACCTGTTCACAGAGCTATGAAAAAAGGCATTTTAAATATCATTTCAAACTTAGCTTTCAAAGCATTAAAAGTTCGCAATAATGTATTTTTTGTTTCAGCCAAATTGTAGGTTTTATAATGTGCCGTCATCTACAATGACGCGTTCCCTTACAATTTGTAAACTGCGAATCTCTATTTGTGGAATAAAGCGAATCTAAAGTTGTAATCTTCACAATTTCCACTCTCCGTGACGTTAGTGTACACAGACAGTGTTATTGATTACTAAGCTACACTTGAACTTAATGTTGCTGAGCAGTAGTTGGGGGAAAGGACAGCTTAAGTTCAAGACTAATTAGTATTTCCACACGGATATATTAGTCTGATGTCCCTCATCCTGGCTAAACAAACATTTAAAATGAAGGGTTCACAGAATAAAAGAAACTCTTCTTTTGACTTCATTTCCTCAGAATTTTACTATATGAGGTATTAGTTACATAGGCATGACAAACACATTTTAATTAGATATCCGAGCCTAGTAATATGCGATGCCACCCTCTATGTACGGAACCATAAATACTATTTCCCTGAGAAGGCTGATTGTTAATACTTACGTGGCATTAAGTTTGGCGGTAAGGAAATTGAGTACATCGTCCAAGAGTGCGGGTGCCGAGGGTCCTTCGTTGTCCAACGAAGGAGTTCCGTCTTCGGTGAAATTACATCTCCCCACCACCAATTCTTCGCCCAAAAAATTTCGGACATCAACAGGGTACGGAGTATGAACTCCTGACATTGATTGCTCCAAAGTCCAATAACCTAGGAAATCATAATGCAGGTAATGCGAGTTAATTCACTGAGGTATTTATAATTAAGGCATATTATAGAAACAAAACAACCCTTGCTCAGTTTCTTTCCGGTTTTTTTCATTACAAGATCTGCCGTTGATTTGGGAACCAATGATTTTCAACTTCCATGAGTGCTAATGTGTTACCAAATAAAAAAAACATAATCAAAATATTGTACCCTATAGGTAAAGCTACTATAGTGGTTGACCACTGTTGTTGACCACTGCTGTGTTCATGACTGGACTCCTCAATCTTACATTAAGTATATGCAGTTATACAGAACACTAGTGGGATAGGGTAATTTGCCGGGCCTTGTATACAATAATCAGTACCCATAGCACTAACCAATATCAAATTCGAATAGTTTGCGAGTCCGAAATGTCATTGTCAAATGTGTACTGATTTTTAGTTCTCGTTACGTGCTTTGTGGCACTGCTGTTAAAGTTTCCATACAAAATTTGACAATGACATTTCGGACTCACAAACTATTCTAATTCGATATTGGTTCGTGCTAGGGGTACTGTATGCCTACAGACGTTTGCGATACCAGAAACTATCACCTGCCTACCCTTACTTCGTCCCCTTGCTCGTGGAGCATTTCGTGATATTTCTAGTAGATATTTTCTGGCGCATGAACTAACTACCTATGTAACATAAGTGCACTCACACTTGACATCCATTTGAGAGGTGTAAATTGCGATTATTCAACTCTTTATTAAAAGCAAGAAAACCTTTTGATGTTCGTAATGTTATAAAAAAGTACTTCTAACCACTCACCCAGGTAGTAAGCGTAAAGAGTGGTATTAGGCCGTGCTTGAAAATATTGCACGATATGTACGCCACCGTGATCTCTGCTGATACGATGCTCTTGCCTCCAGCGATAAAACTGATTCCTCAAGGAAAAATTACTGGCATTCATCATTTCGAATAATCTTGTATAATTGTGCTGCAGTATTCCTGCTTGAAACAACTTAATGATATTTCCCGAATTCTTGTAAATATTATTTTTCGTGAGGTTCCTGAATCTATTGGAAGCTTTGTAATAATTTCTTTCGTAAATCGATTTTGAACAAGATCTGTATTTACGACAACGATTGTCTTTTTCATTGAAAACGTTACTTTGTTCCACAGAATCAAAGTACAATTTTGTATTGTATGAAAAATTGTTATCGCACAGTCCAGGGCCATTATTGACGTTACGCCGAAAGTTCGGATATGCCACTATAATATTCTGATCAAATCTAATTGCGGTTTCATTGAATATACTATATAGCTTATTGTAATCTTCCACTGTGTGAACAGCTATTACCCAATCAAAATACGCAGTATTCATTTCCAACACATTGAGCTGCAACAATGAAACGATGTTAAATTGAGAAAAAATGTTTACATATTTTTGAAACAACCACGTATTTCCTGTTCTTTAAATTATCATTTAGGTAGAAGTGATTCGACCTCGCTTCGCTTCGGTGAAGAATACGTATAGGCAGTTTTTGTTCCCGGACGTGCATTATTATCTATCTATACTTATAATAAATCTGTAAAGGTCAATTCTGTACATGAACATTTTATATTTTCAAAATAACTATCAGGGGGTGATTAGTGATCGATACTGATGCCAAAAACGCAATCAGTAAAATTTTTGTCTGTCTGTCTGTCTGTGTGTATGTTCCTTATAGAAACAAAAACTACTCGACGGATTTTAACGAAACTTGGTACAATTATTCTCCATACTCCTGGGCAGGTTATAGTATACTTTTCATCACGTTACAATCAATAGGAGCAGAGTAGTGAAGGGAAATGTTGGGAAAACGGGAGAAGTTACTCCATTTTTTAAGCTTCCGTCGCGTGTGCAGCCTTAATGGTTCAAGTTACATAGAAATCATGTATGACGGAAATATTCTACATAAAATTGTCTAAAAAATATCCCGCAACAGCATATGTCTATCTTTTATGGTTGACTCACAATAACACGTGTAACTCCTGATAGCTTAGCAGTTCGGAGCATTCTGATTATATTTGTTTACTCTTACGTTTATAATACTCTCACTCATCCCTAATTTAAAAAAGTTAACATTATTACCTATTCAATAAAAAGAGAATCATAGAAATCGGTATAGAAACACCAAACTTATACATGAAATAAGCCATCGCGCCGTCGCACGTGAATACTGAATCAAGGATTATTTTTGTGTAACGGTTGCCGCGCTCGACACGAGTCGCGGCGGCGGTAGCGTATAAAAAGGCGGGAGGTCCGAAAGCGAGCTTCCCCGACCCCCCGATCCTGAGAGACCTTCAGTCGCTCTGTCCTAAACCGATACGGATGCACATCAGAGTGCATCAGTCCTCTAAGCGCACTATGCAGTAGTATTTACTAAGGCAGCGCTGCATCATCCCCTTCTCAGGGGTTGATCGCATCAGATGAAGCCTGTATGGCCCCTAAGGCCATAGGCATCCCCCACGGGTGTGTTTTAGTCAGTAAGAGTCTGACATAACCCTACAGCCGGCTGTAGGGTATCCATGAGGGTTTCACACCCGCTCGCCCGCCTGGGAGGAAACAAAAAAAAAAGAGAAGGGAGCTAGCTTCATTCAATATTTGGCTGTTGATGCGTTCAGAGCGTTCGACCTTATTGACAGACAATAATTGATATTAAGAAACCGTGCTTATCTTAGAATAAAATCCAAGCATTTGTAAACAAAATTAGCAAATAAATCATGTAAAACGTGTAGAAAATGAGTACTGGAAAACGGAAATATGAGAATTTTAGTTTGATTATAAATACAGGTAATAAAAATGACCGTTTTTATCTATATATGTATATAAAAGTCAAAGGTGACTGACTGACATAGTGATCTATCAACGCACAGCCCAAACCACTGGACGGATCAGGCTGAAATTTGACATGCAGGTAGATGTTATGACGTAGGCATCCGCTAAGAAAGGATTTTGATCAATTCTACCCCCAAGGGGATAAAATAGGGAATGAAAGTTTGTATGAAACTTTGTCAATTTTAAACCGATCGGGCTGAGACTGCATGCAGGTATAAGAAGAATCATAGATGAATGTCATTGTGTATAATACAAGCCTGAGAACAAAAACTGTAGTCTACACTTCAGCTCTACACCGAAGCGAAGCGAGGGCGGACCGCTAGTACATAATATAAACCTTCCTCCAAAACATTATCATATGTTTTTTATTTATTTATTTTTTGAAGCATTTAACTGCTAGATGTTTAAATCCTATCGTCCCGTCTGCTACCTGGTCCGCGTGGATTTTTCTATTAAAGCTTTTTTTAGATTTGATATCTTGTTTGTGTAACTTGAATTACTTATGTTCATGCACACAACTCATTAAATAAAACACTGTTTCAACGGTCTTAAGATGTTTTTGACGTGTAACATCTTTCCTCTCGCTTTCGTGCAATTTGTGGGAGTGATTCCGTGAAGTGGGACGGAAGTGTGTAACAGGAAGTTTGGGAAGCGCGCGCTATTTGATTTGATTTTAGAACATAATGTTCAAATGGCTTATTCCTTTTGTAATAGGTTTTATTTCTTTTTTTACTAATATACGGTAAGGTTTCAAATGTTACACATCATACGCGACTACTGTAAGGCTCGCTAGTTTTTTTTCAAAAATATTTTAAAGTAAGAAAGAAAAATATTTTATTTTTACCTAGAGATAGGTATGAATAGAAGTATTTAAACCGCATCTGAAACCCGTTGAAACAGTGTTTCATTTAAATAATGTCAAAGCAAATAGTTATTTAAATTATTATGCACGATTTAAGTTTGTATGTAACTTTAATTACCTTTTTTAAAAGCAGAGAAATTGTTTGTGTTGCGTTTTCCTTTAATCTTGGCGTCAAAATAACTACGCCCAGTGAAGATCTCACCCGTGGCGCCACAGTGGAGTCAACTGAAGCAGCTATACCATTCACACTGAGACATTTCACCAACCGTACTTTGGCCCATTCACAACCTGAATTGTCCAGAAACCACAATGTAATATTTATTTCTTAGGTTTTCACGCACATCGCTCATTAAATAAAACAGTATTAACGGGTTATATGCACTGAATTTATTTATTTATTGACGTTTCGCATCCTTTTCAGGAATGCATCGCCAGAATAATGATTTTTTATTTACTTTGTTGAGCTACCTAAACCTTGAAATCAATGATGCCATCAGCAGTGAGGGCATGAGGCTGGCATGTAACATGTGACATGTAAAACGGTACAGATGTAGAATTTAGTCGCTAGTCGTAGGAATCGCTCAAAAATAACAGGAAAACATAATCTAACCAACCCTTAGTTGGTTTAATCATCGCCTGGTATGGATGGAGATTTAGATAATAAATCCTTGAATTTCTATTGAATTATTTACATTATCTCAGGCTTAAAAATAGTATATTGCACTGTGATTGAGTATAAGTTTTTGGTAAGATCCTGTAAACACGAATTCTTACCATTATGTACTGAATACTATAAGCACTTGCCTAATTTCATCTAAAGCTGGACTGAAATAATGTAAGTTGACCTTTAGCTTCTTCAATAACAATAATGCTCCTATCCTATTCTAGAAGGTAATAAGAAATTGAATGAAACTATAGTTAATAATGAGGAGCTCGATGGTGCAGGTGGCTAGCGCGTTCGGCTGCGGTCGTTGAAGTTAAGCAACTTTCGCAGTAATCGATCATTGGATGGGTGACCAAAAATCTTCTATCTCGAGTTCCTCCGTGCTTCGGAAGGCACGTTAACCCGTTGGTCCCGGCTGCATCTGTAGTCGTTAGCACCCGCCACACCGCACTGGGTCCGCGTGGTGGGTCATGGCCCAATCTCCCTATTCCATCCATAGGGTAGGCCTGTACCCCAGCAGTGGGGACATTAATAGGCTGATGATGATGATGATAGTTAATTACCATAATAACAAATTATTCTATGACTCATTTCAATAATTATTAAATGGAACTATTGTTACGAAATAATTTATCGAATTCGATAAAAACATTTTCTGCATTCGTGAATAACTAAAATTCACCTTGACAAATTAAAATTATACGTGCCGAAGGGCTGATAATACTCAGTCGATAGTTGGTAAAAATCACGTATCTTTATGCAAACGTAATGCGGAAACTGGGCCGCCCAAACTTAACATCATCATTTGTGCGTTGGAATGCAAGTGAACTGATCTCGCAAATGTGTTGTTTTAAACAAAATATTACCTAACTATAAAAAGTGTAATGTGCTAATAATTTATTAAAATCGTTTTGGATGTTAAGGTGAGTTGCTTATATACTTATCTATGCAAAAGGGATGATGACGGGATAAAGTACAAGAAATTCTTTGAAAAATAATGGACTCTTATTTTTAGGGTATCATACCCAAAGGATCAAACGGGGCATTACTAAGACTTCTCTGTCCGTCCGTCTGTCTGTCTGTCACCAGGCTGTATCCCAAGAACCGTGTTAGCTAGACAGTTGAAATTTTCACAGATGAGCTATTTCTGTTGCCCCATACAAAATTCAATATTTAACGGAGGCTCCCATACAAACAAACAAACAAACAAACGTGAAGTTTTGCCGTTTTTTGCTTTATATTAATAACGGCAATAGATGCTTGAAATATTCACAGAATATTTAATTGCAAATTCTTTTTCAAAATAAATAATTAAATTAAAATAAATATTTAAGCCCCCTCCCCCCTTAAATATTTATAATAATCAAATAGTCTGTGTTTTTTGCTTCCGAAATTTAAAGTGTCTGGCATTAAATACTGCTGACAGTATGTTTCTGGCAGTATTAATTTCAAATTGTTCACTTCTCTACAATACGTAGGAACCAGTCCTCAGACTGTGAGTAAAATTTTTCGTGCCTGTACCACCTGATACCTGAAAATTGACCCACAGCACAAGTTAGCAAATATGTATACGTTTATGATGATACTACTCAATTATCCATATTTTGTCCATAATAAAATAAGTCTGGCGGTTTGATCTGAATGGAAAACACAACAACATTATTGGAATCGTACTCTATTAGGAAACGGTTAATTTTTAACTTACCTCTCTCAAATTCTGGAGCAAATATGATGGATTGTTGCCACCCACGCCAAACAGCATATTCCAGTACAAAGGGTAGGCGCGCAACGGCATCATTGGGACAGGCTGCATCCACCCCATAAATGAAGAGGAAGCTGACAAACAAAACTTCTTTCCACATTTGACAACAATTTCTCATGAAGAACAACCGTGTTGAATGATGGATTTTGTACAAATCGAGGCAGCACGTCTCATAAGTTCCTTCGGTAACATCAATCAAATGTCATAAATCATGTCTTTGTAACTGATTTACTGTTTCACTATTCAACCAACTATTAATTAACTATTCTCGCGTGACTCGTTTGACGTACATTATAACAATTGGGTTCGTATTTCAGTTCGATTTCAGAAAGTTACATGGTGAATTACTTAGCCATATTATTATATTACAAGTATCAATAATCCTATTGATGCTTTATTAGTGAAGTAAAGTTTACCTACTAATTTACAAAACAGTATATTTTTTATATATTATAGGAGGCATACGAGGTGACGGCTCACCTGTTGGTAAGTGATCACCATCGTCCATAGACAGGTGTCTATGTATTGCTATGTATTGCAGGTGCAATACATACTAAGAATATCACAAATGCGATGCCGGCCTTTAAGGAAGGCGTACGCTTTTTGAAGGTTTTCAAGTCTTATTGGACCGGAAACACTCCTGGTGACAATGTATTCCACAATTTTGTCGTACGTGGTAAAAAATTTCGACAAAACCGCAAGGTTATGGATAGCCACGCATCAAGATGGTGGAGATGAAATTTTTACCACGATGTACGATAGCGAAAAGCAGCAGCTGATGTTAATCCGAACAATTCTTCAGAACACTTCCCGTGATAAATGCAATAGAAGATGCAATAGAAGATGCAAAAGAACATCTCTACGCAAAGACAAAGGATCACGCCTATCGGAAAGGTCCTGTTCATCGACAATACGAGCCGCTCGGCGCTGGATGCGATTCAGAAGATGATGCCCAAAGATGAGAGCAATAGTCCTTGTGCGGCCGAACCTGTGCTTTATAAAGTTGCAGTCGGTGGGCCGGTTTTATCTATTGAGCACACCAAGCTTCTTGGAGGCTAATTTGGCCTTGCCCTCCAGATGAACTCGGAACTGGATGTCGTTCGATATGCTAACGCCAAGAATACCGATAATAGCTAAGGCAGTGAGGCGAGTGTTCTCAAAAATCTGGGAATCGCAAATACTTACTCATACATACATTTATTTTAATGAAAACCTTAAAAAATTATAACGATAAATTGTAATTAATTAGTATTTTTATTGATGTTTCACGCTATAATATTAATAATGTATCCTATCAGCTTTTCTATTATCTTCTTCGCGGTATTCTTTCTGCCAGTATTTCAGCTAAATTGCAAATTAAAGACCTCATTTAAGACAAAGAAAAAGACAAGGACTAATTCATGAGTGCGGTCAGTGTCAGTCACTGAGTTTTTTGCCTTTAATTTATGCTGCTGCCATGCCCAAATATTTTCAGTGGGATTGGTATCATGGGACGCTGAGGGCCAATCCAACACGTTAATATTCGTTTTCGATTTTGAAGTTGCTGCTGTATCCATAAATCATGCCCGTATCGAAACATCAATAAGCACGATGAATATTCATGAAAAAGCGTTATTAGCATCGTAATAACGCTTTTCCGTGAATTTTCATCATGTTCTGAGCATATAAAGTACCGATATAAACAAGTGCAAATAACCGGAACCTTTTTTTAGAAACAGCCTCAAGTATGCATCATTTTGTGGGTGTTTTATGGATCGTACCACCAGTACATTAATATCAGCCGTAGTAAAAGTTCGAACTGAGTAACCGGCTGTAATGTTGATGATTCTTCTTTTATTGGAAAATTCCTTCCATCCTTGATAAATTTTAAAACAAGAATCCTACCCTAAAGCTGTGTAAATAGAGGTTAATGTTCACTCACAGATTTTGATGCCGTTATATATTACAAAAGTTATAAAATAAAAACTGGTTAACAAAAAAATAAAACCGCCGAAAAGCAAAAAATATTAAAGCTTTTTTATGTTTAGTCAAATTAATATTTGGAGTCGGTGCCATGCATGTCTAATAGATCTGAGTTCCATTCATTACTAAGGTTGGCATGGTACCGATTCCAATTATTAATTTGACTAAAGATAAAATAGGTTTATTATTTTTTGCTTTTCTGTTTTCTGCAGTAAAATTGTTTGTTCAATTTTTTCATTACTTTTTCAGAAAGTAATTATTTCTTTACCGTGTTTTAGCAAGGGGAGAAAACTTATGTTTTTCTAACTAAGAATTAAAAAAATTAATATTCTATTTAACGTTATATTTATTTTGTTAGACAGCATAACAAAGTTTTATAATACGCCGATCAAGATCATGTCAAACACACTGTATACTTACGGCTCTAAATTAGGTACGCTTTTTTTCCTTTACTTTTCCCATTAGGGCCGAATTATGCTCCTCTAACTCTTTTTTTACATATAAAAAGTTGTCACAGAGTCATTAAAACAATGAAAGACCATGAGCATCGAATCAAAGATTTTCCTTTTCTTTTTTTATCTTACTTTTCGTTCTGTTTCTCTGACACTAGGGCTGCCATCCGTCCGGGTTTCCCCGGATTTGTCCTAGTTTACGGGGCGTCCGGGGAGCGTCCGGGCGGGGTTTTATTTGTAGTCCGGGTTTAAAAATTTACGGCAACGCATGAGTGGCCCTAGGTGCTGCAAGTGTCCATGGGCAGCAGTGACCACTTATTATGAGGTAGACCGCTAGCTCGTTTGCCTAGATCAACATAAAAAAGTTGATTTGTGACATTTTTAACTGTTTTTTTATTGGTCTGTCCGGGTTCTGGGCTTCAAAATCCGGGGTTATCACGCGTCTTATCCTGGTTGCCACATTTTAGAGATGGCAGCCCTATCTGGCACCCACATACTTACGCTATGTTTCATCTTTATTTATTTTTAATTCAAAGTAAATCACATATACTCCCCATATTTTGTCCTTTAACTTTAAAAATAGAATATGCAATACATTGTAATATTGTGGAATATTAACGGGAATTTATCCTACACACTTAAAAAAAAATAACCTTCATTTATGGCAGGTACACTGCCCTTGTGGTACATTGTCTAGGCTGGACCTATGCTAAAATCTACATTTACCTTAATTTTGTTCCACCTTATTATTTTCAGAATAATAAAAAATGACTTCACAAACAACAACAAAGACGACTTTTAGTGATAAGCAGGAGCACAAAGAACACAGAGATCACGATCACAATGATAAGACTTCCTTGACAGTATTCAACAGTAAATCTCAACAGAAAATTGCATACGATCAAATGCTACCAGAAAATGAGTCAAGTTTTATGTTTCCTGTGCGAAATTGGGAAAAACGTATGGGTTTCATCACACCTATCCGATGGACAAATTTCATAAGCATAAGTTTATTTCATATCATTGTTACAACTTGGTTCTTTCACACGTTAATAATTTATCCAGAATTATTCCAGTTCAAACATGTAACATTTGGTGAGTATCATAAAATCATTCCTTGAATATAACCTACTTATCAATTATAATTAATAACTTATTCAATTGTCTTCGTTATTAAAATTTTTGTTTAAATTTAGTAGATTTTGTCGGTTTTTTTTTTTGTTTTAAGCCACGTCAACGATTAGCAAAGTAAAGCTAAAGTGTAGATATAAAACAATATCGACAGTGAAAAAGCAAAATCGCTTAAACGCCATAACGCCAGTACACTACAACGCATCGTATTGTGAATTCGTCCCGTGAATAATATTTTTTTAACAAAACTGTGCTGCCTTGTTCCAATATTGTAAAGTTTTTACTTTTGACTTCGTATTTGGTTTGGAGGCCGCACCTATGTATTCCGTGCGTTCCATCTGCCTTTTGTTCTGTAATCTGAGCTCTATATAAAATGTTTACAGCTGTGCTATGGGGCATAGTAGCTGGGTTCGGAGTGACCGGTGGAGCACACCGCTTGTGGAGTCATCGAGCATATAAAGCAAAATGGCCTCTAAAAGTAATTCTAGCAATCTGCTATGCAGCGGCAGGTCAAGTGAGTTAACTTTTAAGTACCTAATTTACATCTATAAGTATGTGTATACTACATAATTATATTATCTGTTATTTCCTAAATGTTAAAAGGGTGGCAAACAAGCGTATGTCCCGCTGGATGTAAGGGGGCACAATAGCAATAGACGCTGCGCTACCAAAATATCACTCTGGTTACTTCCCCAGACGGGCGTTCCAATTCAAGCGGGAAATCCGCTTTGCTCTACCTCTCTGTAGTCTATGTAAATATCATGTTTCCTTAATTTTAAAAATAATTAATATATTTATATATAATAAATATATATCAATTGAATATCAAAATCATAACCACAGAAAATTAATAATTCCAAAAAAAACCCATTGCCGTTTTAAACGCTTTTGAAAAATCTCAATTCCATAGCCTTCTGTTGATTATAATCGCTTATAAGACTGTTTTTTAATTAATAAAAATACACATAAAAGTTTTCGCTTAAAACAATCACCTCCTCATGCACATAGCGTTACCTAATTAATTTTAAGTATGTATTTTTTTAATCTATAGTCAATAGGAGGTCATGGAAGAAAATGAGAAAATAAACGGTTACCTTGGGTTATAATATATATATATATATATCGAATTTTCGCGATAATCCTAGGAATTTTGCGAAAACGAGGATAATTGCTCAAACTTACTGCTAACGAAATTTTTTCTGGCGTTTCGCCGGCACGCGCTCTCTGCTCGGGCGTCATAGCCACAACACTAACCTAACATAATACACACACTAACCCTAGAGTATTTAAAATCATCCAACGATTCTTTTCGCAATGTTACTTAGGCGACTCGAGTTTTGATTGATTGAGAAGATTGAGAAATGTAATCGCCATTGTCTAATTATCCGTGTTTCTCAAAATTCCTAGGATTTTCGCACATATGACATTTATTTAATCATCCTAAAACATATTTATGTATTTTTTCCACATTTCACTAGGAGCCACAAAAACCTGTATCGGTTTTATCAATTGATACAGAATATGTTTGTAAGTATTTATGTAAATATTATGTTCGATAAATTCTAAAACACTTTACGGCAGAATAACATATACAACTGGGTGCGCGACCACCGAGTACACCACAAATACTCGGAAACAACGGCGGACCCCCACGATGCGAACCGTGGGTTCTTCTTCTCGCACGTGGGATGGCTCATGATGAAGAAACACCCGGAAGTTCTGAAGCAGGGCGCCAAGATTGACATGTCTGACATCACCAAGGATCCCCTCATACAGTTCCACAATAGGTGCGTTATCATTTGCCCGAATATAAGTGCCAATGGAATTCGGGTAAACGGCAAAGTGTAAAAGAACGGGGTCGAGTACGCCCGTTTCGGGTAGATTTCCTTTTCTTTACCCGACACCGTCTTCCAGCCCGTATTCCAGTGTAAATATTGCTTCGGGTGCCCGAATTCGAGTAATGTCTTTCGTGCACCCGAATACGGACTACGACCAAATGTAATTGCGGCATCTTACTTAAAGCCTCTTCCTTTTGGCCCTTATAACAGCAGATAGGTATTGGGTTACTTATTGCCATTAGCAGTTATGAGTCATCTTCAGTAACAATAAAACAAAAGTACCCATACCGTTTAGCTATATCCCCGCAATGGTTCGCCTACGGCAGTAATACGGACGGGTGACAAAAAAAAATATTTTGTGCTTCGCATGAACATCCAATAAGTAACTAAAAAAATCGGGTTGATTTTGTCAAGATTCAGTGCGGATTGGAAGGTCTACGATACTTTTTTTATGGAATAGGGAGATTAGGCCATTACTCGCCACGTGGGCCAATGCAGATTGGTGGGTGCTATTTATGTAAATAATTTTAACTTGGTACCAATCACCAACTGAGTGTTTCACGACACTCACTTGTGCTGTTTAACATTTTCAGATACTTCACGGTGCTCAAGTTAGTGTTTTGCTTCGCGCTACCCACAGTGGTCCCGGTGTGTTTCCTGGGAGCGGGCTGGTACTTCACCGTCATGTCCCAGTGCGTGCGCTACATGGTGACGCTTAACGCTACCTGGTCTGTCAACAGCTTCGCTCATCTCTGGGGCAGCAAGCCATACGACCGGTAAAAAATATTCACCACTCACCAAGCGTCCCTAGCGGCGATTTCCCTGGCGTTAGGCCATATTGGTTGTTATCCGTGCAAGTTTTTAAGTTTATTTAATACTTTTCCAAGATCCCCTTTATCTTTTAGAACCTACAATCAATTATAGGTACAAAAATTTATCAAATTCATGCAGTTGTTCGAGGAGCGCGATGGCGCAGGTGGTAAGCGCGTTCGGCCTGCGATCGTGGAATTTAAGCACTTTCGCAATGATCGGCCATTGGATGGGTGACCAAAAACTGATTATCTCCAGCTCCTCCGTGCTTTGGAAGGCACGTCAAGCCATTGGTCCCAGCTGCATCTGCTGTCGCCAGCACCCATCGATATTCCATCCATACGGAAAGTCTGTGCCCCAGCTGATGATGATGATGCGGCTGTTTGGATGTGAAAGCGTGAAAGACAGACAGACCGACAAAGTTACATTCACAATTTTATAATATTGAAAGATACCAATAAATTAGTACCTACCTATTGGATGCTGTACAACTTTACTTTATTTCAGCACCATAATGCCGTCAGAAAACTGGGGTGTTTCGTTTATGGCGTTAGGTGAAGGATGGCATAATTATCACCATACCTTCCCCTGGGACTATAAAGCAGCTGAGCTTCCCTACGCGACGAACCTTACCACTGTTCTACTCGACATGTTTGCAGCTATAGGATGGGCGTATGATATGAAGGTCACCCCCAAAGCATTGATCAAAGCAGTCATAGAGAATAAAGGAGATAAACGGCAACATCCGTAATATAATTAATTTGGTCGTAAAGCATTTATTTGTTAAACAGCATGCAACTGTTCTATTAAATGAGTTTAAAACATGGACGTCCATGGTCTAAAATCTATTACATACGCATCATTATGACCTAGTAACGACCCATTTTGAGTGCATGTCTAATCGATTTTGATTAAATGTTTCGTAAAAATATGACCGGTGTCTAATAATAAATACGACTGTTTACTATTATTAAATGAATAAAATGTGATAAGATAAAGATACTTTTTTTAAGCATTTAACTGCTACATGTTTAAATGTAATCTTTAGTTATAGATATACTTATGAATAAGAAATTAGTGTTTTAATAATAAAGTAGATCATTAAATAATATGATACAAAAGAAAACGTGGTTTTGATTGAATTTGTGTAACTCAGTGTAAATATCGTACGTAAGTACTTTCACAGCTTATCATATCCCATGCGGTGTTGACAGAGCATCAAAAATGCAACTTGCGAATAAAGCATGTCTCAGGGCCGGATTTTAAGCGCCCTGCTTTGCAGCGGGGCTGTGGCCCAGGGGACACAACAGGATAAAAAAAATCAAAGGAGATTGCTCAGCTTCCATACATGTTTGGCCTAAAGACCAATAATCATGAAAATTTGTTTCCTAGATTCGAAATTATATAAATTACTGTAGAAACGAATATTATTGACGGACACCCCTGAGAACTTATATAAACCATATACACTGAACATATTAAAATAATAAAAAACACATAAGTTAAAGAGTAAACTAGGGAAATCAAGCCAAGTACCGAAATTATGGATAAGATTAAGGTATAGTATGTAGATTAACAGATGGTTGCCTGATTTTACCCGGCTGCGCAATGCAAGAGCGCGAAGCGCGACGCGCAGACAGGGTTATTACCCGGCTGCGCAATGCAAGAGCGCGAAGCGCGACGCGCAGACAGGGTTATGTGTTTAACAGTCTATATATGTATGTTTGTTCCTTTGTGGCACACAAGAGACCAAACGCCTGGACCGATTTTAATGATTCATACATCAATCGATTCGTCTCAATCATGGAAGTGCTACTAAAGATATGATAGTAATCAAAATTCAATATGGGCAAAATTAGGCGCCATATTGTGACGAAGTAAAAAAAATAAGTTGACAAAATATGTCGAGTGGGGTATCACTGTCTAGATAATCAAAAATCATATTTAGGTTTCTGACACCATTTTTCATTTTATATGATTGTTTAGGATCTACAACGCTTTAAAGTTGTATATTAACCATATACGCTTTTAATTTCAATCTTACGTTTGTATAGATCTTTGTTACTCTTTCACCTAAAAAATACTGAATGGATTTTAATGAAACTTAACAGTAATATAGCTCATATACGATAATTACATATAAATAATAATTTATGTAGTTATTGAGTGAATTGGCCAATATTTAACAATAAGTGTCACATAAGACGGAAAAAAATCTCCCATCTGCGAGCCATTTTGGCCTGCACTGCAAAAACAATAAAAGTTACATGAATGTAATGTAGAGTGAAAATGTATCTCTTAAAAAGTTCTAAAAAAAAGTCCGTGACACCATATATCTATTTTTAATGTATAACTCATTACCGCTAAAATAGTGAATCAAAACTAAAATATTATTTGATATCTATTTCCAAAATGCACATTTTGTATTAACCAATCATTTTTTATCAAAACAAATACTTTAATCGCTTTTGATATTTAAAGACGATAAACTTTGCTTTTTACACTATGTCATTTCGACAAATATTTAAAAAGTTACAACGATGACAAAGTGATAGCGCGGTGTACTATGTAAAAAAAGAAAAAAAAGGGGTATTCGCGGTATCTGATCCTATAGGAAGTACTAACATTAAAACTGTGATACAGTTCCTTCTTATTAAATGATGAAAAATATATTATCATAATAGGTATTTATGATTATTGAATTTTAATGAAAAACTCAGAATTTTACTGTTTTTAATTTTTTTAACGATATTACTTAAGGTTACAAAAAAGGTTTACTTAATATAATGACAAATAACCCATTTTTCGCTAGTAAGTACATACTTATTGGAATCCCTGTATTTATTAATCAGCTCGCGATAATATTGGTTTTGTAATAATTCTGAAAATTTCAAAGTAAATAATGTAGATTTTTATAGGTAAATCACCCCTTTCATCACCCTACGCCTATAAGTATTGCGATGTTGTAGCTAAGAACCAAGTTCCCATCTACTTCTATATGGGAATTCATTATATTCGATTTAGCTATTAGGGCACGGAAGCGCAACAAACAAACTCACTTTCGCATCTATAATATTATATTATACTTACTAGTGATCCACCCGGGCATTGTAGGGGCGAAATTTATTTATCGGGATAAAATATAGCCTATGTCACTCAGACAAAATGTATTTAAATAAAGAAAAATGTTATAATAAATAATGTAGCTACCTTATGATGAATTAATATTTGAAACCGGTTCAGTAGTTTGACAGATTATTTGTTACAAACATACAAATCTTGCCTCTTTATAATATTAGTATAGATAGTTAGGATAAGATAAGTATTTAATTGATGAAAAAGATTTAAAAATAAAGTAAGTAATAGGTTTATTTGATTATATTTGTAAAAGTTACTTAGCATTTGTGCTTAACAGTGATACGTGATTCGGTATTTTTATAACAAAAAAAAATGGAAAATAATTGCCATGATTGCACTACTGGGAGTACTCTTCATTCGAGCTTTACACTACCAATAAAAAAGGGTCGAACACAAAGTCTTTGACCTGTTAAATGTGAACGCTTTAAAAGAAAACTACAAAGAGAACTATAAATTGATAATAAATGAGATTGCTATGGTGCTCTACCTAACGTTATGAAAATTTTATTATGCGCCTTTAGTTTAATCAAATATTATAAACTTTGCTTTGGTGATTGCATAATTATTTAATTTAGTGAATTACTTCTTTCTTCAACCTGCGACATAAACGTCATTGATTGGTATTGTATATAGGGTGATTAAAAACATTTGAAGTTAACTTCTGGCATCTACATATTGGGTTTCTGTGAATTATGTAGGTATATCAAATTATGAGACTAGGGACTGACACTGAATTTGTGTGTATCACAATCTTAGACGTCCGGCATTGACATGACAATGCAGCCACTGCCAATTTTAAATAGTCGACGAATAAAAGTAAATGAATTTTATATTTACTGCTAAACTATTAAAAAAAACATAAACAAAAAATGACTTTTTGCATAAGTGCTAGTTTACTATAAAATTTACATACATTAGAGATATTTATGTAACGACTTCATTTAACTTCACACATTTTTGCGAAAATTGAGGCCCATCTGTAGCCTTGACTTCGCTGGTAAAGTCTTTATATGTCTTAATAAATCAATCTTTTAGACCGACGCGACGCAAGGTACTTAATAATTCCCGCGATATTAATTCCCTTACTGAAGTAACAAGACTACGGTATATACCGGCTTAAAATACTAACTAAAAAGTGTGAAATAAAAAAGGTAAAATTTAAAAAATCAAAAAACCCGACTGCTTAATTATTCTTCAAATAAAAACTGAAAAGAAAAAAACAAGTCCAGTATACTATAATTCTGTTAATAAGGAACAAAGCTACTTTAACAGTCGGGACCCACTGTTGAAAAATATTATGTATTCTTGAATATCTAATGGGTCCCGACTGTTAAAGTAGCTTTGTTCCTTATTAACAGAATTATAGACTACTGGACTTGTTTTTTTCTTTTCAGTTTTTATTTGAAGAATAATTAAGCAGTCGGGTGTTTTGATTTTTTAAATTTACCTTTTTTGAAGTTAATGCATAAGAGTAACTTTTAAAATCAGGTGTCATTTCCGTTTAATAATAAGGTACTCTGTGACAGAAACTGTGTGATGATTGTGAATGAGCCACAGATTACAGAGAATTTTTAAACTCTCGTTAAGAGATTTAGGTTCTATAGCCATATATTCAGTAGCTTCATTATTTTGGTTATGTTTTAAAGATAACCACATTTCAGATTTTTAGTGTATCACACCTTATAATTTTATTTATTTATTAATTTATAGTCAGAGAACGTAGGCCCATAGATAGATACCTTAAAGTCTAACATATATACAGATTAAAATGTGTTTATGGAGGTCTTTGGCGAAAAATGTATGGCAATGGACTTTATGATGTCGCCTACCATCTATAGTAATTGTCTGAGCACATTTGCATCTAGTGAAAATGATAATGTAGTTGTGGATATTAATACCACAGTGTAATAAAAAAATGATTTATTTTATCGATCTTTACAAAATAGATTTGTTTTTATGTTATATAAACAACTTCGATCAGTCTTTGGCTGAATGTTACTACACCCATAGCCATTAAAAATGATTTGTATGTTTTCCAAACCGGTAAAATTAAAAGTCCTTTTTAAAGTAAATATACAGGGTGTCCCGTAAGTAATGGTCCAACCGTAAACCCTAGGTAGTTCACTCAATTGCCTACAACTAATTTGAACCGTTTTTTGAAATTCATTAGGGTTGCCAAAAAAAATGATAAAAGGTTTTTTTTTTCAATATTTCTGTCTTGAATTGGTTTTTTTAATGGCATTGACGCAAATATTAAAAAATTCAAATTTTTTTTCGCTAAAATGTAGCTAGATAGATTGACTATCAACTCGTTTATCACATTTGCATAATGACATTGTATTTCTCTCAAAAATATTGAAGTAACTTAACATTTTATTGTATTTTATTTGGATGACCTAAACTGAAAAGCTCCTAATGTAAAAAAAAAGTATGACACCAAAGTGTTCCATTATTTTAAAAACATGTGCATTAAGTAAGGTTTCAAAATTGGTATAAAACTTATGGTTAACTAGTAAAGTTGCAAACATAATACAATGAATCCGAAGAAGAGGCGAATATCTAAAAAAAACTAAATTAATTAAATTAGTATTTAGTTGTGTTATTTCACATTATTAGGAATGTCTTTACGTTAATCAACATGATGATTATACTGATATTAGCTTTTATGGCACTTATTTGTGTAAACGACGGGTAAAATAAGGTCTTTAGAAATAAAAGCAAAAAACCGTTATAATTTTATAATAAATGCTCAAATTGCCTTCCGCCTACAGCTATGCACATTCTGCTGCTCCTTGTACACGTTGTAGATGGTACGGGTGCAAACGGTATCTTTTTAAAACCCTGTGCACCGATGCTCTAGGTATTCCAGAACGTCGTGCTATAGTTCGAACTGACGTTGATGCATCTTCTTGTAC